ATATCATATGTAAATAGAGATGCTTTTACTTCTTCTTACCAATTTGAATGCCCTTTATTTCTTTTTCTAGCCTAATTGCTCTGGCTAGGACCTCCAGCACAATGTTGAGTAAGAATGGTGATAAAGAGCAGCCTTGTCTGGTTCTCGTTCTCACGGAGAATGTTTTCAGACTCCTTCCGTTTAGGATGATGTTGGCTGTTGGCTTTGTATAAATGCCGCTAATTATATTGAGGACTTTCCCTTCTATTCCTATTTTGCTGAGAGTTTTTATCATGAATGGGTGTTGAACTTTGTCAAATGCCTTTTTTGCATCAATTGATAATGCTACATGCTTCTTATCTTTTGTTTTATTTATGTTATAGATTACATTGATTGTTTTTTCTAATGTTGAACCATCCCTGCATGCCTGGTATGAATCCCACTTGGTCATGGTGAATTATTTTTTTGATATGTTGTTGAATTCTATTGGCTTGAATTTTGGTGAAGATTTTTGCGTCAATGTTCATGAGGGATATTAGTCTGTAATTTTCTTTTTTTGTGGTGTCTTTACCTGGTTTTGGTATCAGGGTTATTTTGGCTTCATAGAATGAGTTTGGGAGTATTCCATCCTTTTCTATGCTCTGAAATACCTTTAGTCATAATGGTGTTAACTCTTCTCTGAAAGTTTGGTAGAATTCTCCAGTAAAACCATCAGGTCCAGGACTTTTTTTGTTGGGAGATTTTAATTATCTTCTCAATCTCTTCTTTTGTTATAGGTTTATTTAGTTGTCTTACTTCTGTTGTGTTAGTTTAGGTAGGTAGTGAGTTTCTAGAAATTTGTCCATTTCCTCTAGGTTTTCAAATTTGTTAGAGAATAATTTTTCATACTAATCTGTTATGATTCTTATAATTTCAGTTGGGTGTGTTGTGATATTGCCCATCTCATTTCTTATTTAGGTTATTTGCTTCCTCTCCTGTTTTTCTTTGGTAAGTTTGGCCACTGGTTTATCGATTTTGTTGATCTTTTCAAAGAACCAGGTTTTGGTGTTTTTAACTCTTTCAATTGTTTTTCTATTCTCTACTTCATTTAATTCTGCTCTAATTTTTATTATTTGCTTTCTTCTGCTGCCCAAGGGCTTCTTTTGATGCTCTCTTTCTATTTGTTCGAGTTGTAGGGTTAATGTTTTGATTTTGGTCCTTTTTCTTTGTGAATGTGTTCATTTGTTGCTATACACTGACCTCTGAGCACTGCTTTTGCTGTGTCCCAAAGGTTCTGGTGGGATGTTTTTTCATTGTAATTTGATTCTATGAATTTCTCTATTCCATCCTTAATTTCTTCTATAACCGTAGTTTTTGAGTAAGGTGTCGTTCAGTTTCTATGTGTTTGATTTTTTTTTTTTTCTCCTTGCTTTTTCTGTTATTAATTCTACTTTTATGGCTTTACGTTCAGAAAAATTACTTTGTAATACTTCGATGCTTTGGATTCTGTTAAAGCTTGCTTTATGGCCTAATACGTGGTCTATTCTGGGGAATGTTCCATGTGCATTGGAAAAGAAAGTATATTTGGCTGCTGTTGGGTGGCGTGTTTCTTATATGTCTATGTGATCAAGTTGGTTGATTGTGGCATTTAGATCTTCCGTGTCTTTATTGATATTCTTTCTGGATGTTCTGTCCTTCACTGAAAGTGGTGTGTTGAAGTCTTCTACTATTATTGTCGAGCTGTCTGTTTCTCTTTTCAATGTTTTTAGAGTTTGTTTTATGTATTCTGGAGCCCCATCATTTGGTGCATAAATGTCTATTATAGTTATGTCCTCCTGGTGTATTGA